CGTGGATTCTCTTGTGGCTGCTGGGGCCTTCCTGGGTGCCTGCCCCCCAGACGTGGCTTTCCTGACTCGTCTGTAGACTATGGCTTACTGGCCTCTAGATGTCCTTTGGAAAAACATGTGTGAGGCATAAATTGATATGAACATTCTGCAAGGCAGTTTGGCAGAGCATTTTTTTTAAAAAAATCAACATATAGTGTGTCCTGGAGTTTTTCTGTATAGTCACTAAAAATCACATTCTAGGGGACTATTTAATGACATGGGAAATACTCATGGTTTATTAAGTGAAAAAGCCTTTATGCGCATATGTGTTTATATATGCATATCTGTAGCTATCCATGTATATGGTGTATCTCAGCATGATGAGATTGTGACTTTACTTCTTTGTCCTTTTATTTTGAGACAGGGTCTCACCCTGTTACCCAGGCTAGAGTACAGTGATACAGTCAGCTCACTACAGCCTTGATCTCTTGGGCACAAAGCAATTCCCTGTGTACCACCACACCTGGCTAATTTTTGTATTTTTTGTAGAATCAGAGATTTTGCTATGTTTCCCAGGCTGGTCTCAAATTTCTGGCCTCAAGTGATCTACCACCTTGGCCTCCCAAAGTGCTGGGATTATAGGTGTGACCCACTGCACCCAGCCCACTTTGTACTTTTCTATATTAACAAATTTTTGAGGTCGGGTGTGGTGGTTCACACCTGTAATCCCAGCAAGGCTGGGCGTGGTGGCTCACTCCTGTGATTCCAGCACTTTGGGAAGCCGAGATGAGCCACCGCACCCGGCCTGTACACACTCTTTAAGGAAACAAAGCCTTTATTATTTCTTTGCCTTGGAAGTTTCTGCATCCATGAAACGGAGGTTACATGCATGTCTAATGTTTGGGGATTGCAGGAAAAAAAAAAAAACAGAAGTAACTCTGATGCCTACTTTATGGTTTGGTTTAGTTTTTTCCCCCCTTTTTTGGTGGGGATTTAATGGGTTCGTGTGCTAAGAACAGTTTGTATTAAGTACAGACAGTTTTCAATTTACAGAGTTTCAACTAGCTGGGCGTGGTGGCTCACACCTGTAATTCCAGCACTTTGGGAGGCCGAGGCAGGCGGATCATGAGATCAGGAGATCAAGACCATCCTGGCCAAAATGGTGAAACCCCATCTCTATTAAAAATACAAAAATTAGGCCGGGTGCGGTGGCTCACACCTGTAATCCCAGCACTTTGGGAGGCCAAGGTGGGTGGATCACAAGGTCAAGAGATCGAGACCATCTTGGTCAACGTGGTGAAACCCTGTCTCTACTAAATATACAAAAAATTAGCTGGGCATGGTGGCGCGTGCCTGTAGTCTCAGCTACTCAGGAGGCTGAGGCAGGAGAATTGCCTGAACCCAGGAGGTGGAGGTTGCGATGAGCCGAGATCGCGCCATTGTACTCCAGCCTGGGTAACAAGAGTAAAACTCTGTCTCAAAAACAAACAAACAAACAAACAAACAAAAAAATTAGCCAGGTGTGATGGTGCGTGCCTGTAGTCCCAGATACTCAGGTGGCTGAGGCAGGAGAATCACTTTAACCAGGGAGGTGGAGGTTGCAGTGAGCCGAGATTGCACCCCTGCACTCCAGCCTGGGTAACAGAGCAAGAGTTTGTCTTAAAAAAAAAAAAGTTTCAACCTACTATTTTTTTACTTTAAGGTTGAGCGAAAACAATACCATTCAGTAGAAACCGTGTTTGAAGTAACCATACAACCATTCTGTTTTTCACTTTCAAATGGCATTAGATCAATTACACTGAGATGTTCACCACTTTATGATAACATAGGCTTTGGTTAGATGATTTTGCACAGCTGTAGGCTAATGTAAGCATTCTAAGCACATTTAAGTTAGGCTAGGCTGAGCTATGACGTTTGGCAGGTTAGGTGTATTAAGTGCATTTTGACCTATATTTTCAGCTTATGATGGTTTTACTGGGATGCAACCCCGTTGTAATTTGAGGAGCATCTGTAAAAACATTAGCTATTCCCATTATTGTTAACTGCAGAAGAGGGTGGATTGGGTTCTTAAGTATCACAGCCGGGCGCGGTGGCTCAAGCCTGTAATCCCAGCACTTTGGGAGGCCGAGGCGGGTGGATCACGAGGTCGAGAGTTTGAGACCATCCTGGTTGACATGGTGAAACCTCGTCTCTACTAAAAATACAAAAAATTAGCTGGGCATGGTGGCTCGTGCCTGTAATCCCAGCTACTCAGGAGGCTGAGGCAGGAGAATTGCCTGAACCCAGGAGGTGGAGGTTGCGGTGAGCCGAGATTGTGCCATTGCACTCCAGCCTGGGTAACAAGAGCGAAACTCCGTCTCAAAAAAAAAAAAAAAAAAAGTATCACAGAGGAATGCCGTTATTAATAGTATTGTTATTGACTTACCTGTAAGAAAGTTCTCATACATGGATATATTCTGCCTGCCTACTTCACTGTATCGGCTATTGTACTATCAGATGAAATGGGAATCTAAAAATGCTTGGAAAAGTGGATATTCTATACAGATTTAGGAAATTAACCAGCAGTGAATTGGGGTCATATTGGAGAAAAGATATTTTGCTCTCTTCCATTCTATTTGTAGAGTTTTATATTGAATATGTTTTGTTTTGCTCTGCACATTCAGGAAACTTCTCTAGTAATGAACTGTAGAAGTCACCCCAGAAAGCACAGTCTTTGTTCCTCCACTCCTTCCTTGAAAATTTCCTTTTTTAAAAATTTATTCATTTAAGAGCCAGTGTCTTACTTACTCTACCAGTCAGGCTAGAGTGCAGTGACACAATCATATAGCTCACTGCAGCCTCAAATTCCTAGGCTCAAGTAATCTTCCTGGCTGAGTGCAGTGGCTCATACCTGTAATCCCAGCAATTTGGGAAGCCGAGGAGGAAGGATCACTTGAGCCCAAGAGTTGGAGACTAGCCTAGGTAACATAGTGAAACCCTCTCTATCTTATAAAATGAAATATTTATTTTAAAAACGTGATCCTCCCACCTCAGCCTCATGAATAGCTAGGACTACAGGCATGCAGCACCATGACTGACTAATTTTTAAAGATATTTTTTGTAAAGACAGGAGTCTTGCTGTGTTGCTCAGGCTCGTCTCAAGCAGTTCTCCCACCTTGGCCTCCCAAAGCACTAGAATTACAGGCAGAAGCCAGCGTTTCCAGGCCACATTTTCCTATTTCATGATTCATTTATTCAACAAATACTTGCTGAATGCCTCTGATGTGCCTAGGCCTTTTCTCAGTGCAGGGGGAAGAGGGGCGAGTGAGGCAGATATGGGCTCTGCTATTATGGGCCTTACAGACCAGTGTGTGTGTGGCAGAGTGGCAGGCAGGCAGATACCCAGTCAGAGAAAAGAAAGGGGATGTGTGGATAGGCTGGGCATGGTGGCTCATGCCTGTAATCGAAGCAGTTTGGGAGGCTGAGACAGGAGGATCCCTGGAGCCCAGGAGCTTAAGGCTGTAGTGAGCCATGATTGAGACCAGCCTGGGCAACATAGCGAGACCCCATCTCTACAAAAAAATAAAAAAATTAGCCAGGCATGGTGGTATATGCCTGTATGCCAGCTATGTGGGAGGTGGAGGCAAGAGGTTCACTTGAGTCCAGGAGTTTGAGGTTTTAGTGAGCCATGATCTTGCCACTTCTCTCCAGCCTGGGTCCCAGAATGACACTCTCTCTCCAAAAAAAAAAAAAAAAAAAAAATGAAGAAAGGGGCTGTGTAGAGAAAGTACAATGAGGAGGTGACAGAGAGAGAACTCAGCAAAGGGAGGAGCAGTCAAGTAAGGCCTCATGAAAGAGGGCACAGTTGAATAGAGACCTGCATAGTGAGAAGGAAGAAAAGCTCAGTAGAGAAAGAACATTCCAGGTGGAGGGAACAGCCAATGCAAGGGCCACTGGGTGAGAACGAGCTGGGTGAATTTGACCAGAAGAGGGATTGGAAGTTGGTCAGTCCATGAGGTAGAAATAGAAAACCCACAATTCAAAGAAACCAGACATCCATGATGCAAGAAGTTTCTGTGAGAGGAGCTTAGAAGTCTCCATAGAACCTGAAGAACTGCAGTATCCTTCCAGGTGTAATCAGGTATAGAGCATCTACCTGGACTGTTACAACCTGCCTGTTAGAGCTGTGACTGTGGCGTTGACAAGAGCCTAGGGCTTGGAGGGAAAAGTCTTGGCTGTTTGGTCGAGTCTCGGCTGTTTGGTCATGAGTGAGTCTCATGACCCTCTGGCCCTCAGTGGCTTCTTCTAAAAGTTGGGGATGGTGCTACCTGCTGTATAAGGTAGGGTCAGGATTAAATGAGTGAATGAGCACTTGGTGAAACATGGCATGCATGGAAGGATTGTATATCTTTAGTAAGCGAAGCTTTGAAGCCAAAGTGCAAAGGGGTGGATCTCCATGTGGAACAGAGTGAGGTGCTGTGTGGCTGGACTCTGAGCGCAGAGGAGGCTGTCCAGCCAGGCCAGGGGGCTTGTTCTGCACCATCTCATTAACACAGCAACTGAGATTGGTTCACTGTTCTCCTACTAATGAGTGTCTTTCCTGTTTCTCTTTTCCATAGTCTGTCCAACCTGGTGGGCTTCATAGTTCAGGATGTGTTCAGTGAAGCCATGTCTACACTCGCTCTAATCCACACTGATCTCTCTTTTCATGGAGACCCACAAATTACCACCTCATTACTTGTGGTTTTGTGTCTTTTCACTGATTCATCTGCCTCCCTGTCTAGATCAGAAGCTACTTGGGAGTAAGAACTGTCTTTTGTATTCTTTCCTCTCCTCCATGACATTCACTACAACATAAATCTTAGAGGTCAGAACATACTGAAGTGCATTTTGAGTTAAAGTGCTCAAAAGCAATCTTCATGACACCTGTTTACTTTAGCTCTGGCTATAACGTTTACCTGCCTAATAGGGAGCTTTTGTTTATTAAACATACTTCTTTTTATGACTAGGCATTGAAAAGGTTGTAATGCTTTGTTCTGTAGCCCCCAGGTTTCCCTAGATGACAAATAAACATTCCTTTTCCTGCCTGAAGATCATCTGTGGGAACCTTGGCCATGGCATCGATATCTGAGCCTGTTATATTCAGAGAGTTCTGCCCGTTGTACTATCTTCTCAATGCCATTCCGACAAAGATCCAGAAGGGTTTCCGTTCTATTGTGGTCTACCTCACGGCCCTCGACACCAATGGTGACTACATCGCGGTGGGCAGCAGCATCGGCATGCTCTATCTGTACTGCCGGCACCTCAGCCAGATGAGGAAGTACAACTTCGAGGTGAGCCTTGCTTTGCTTTACACTGAGAGGCCATGAGCCATAGCTGATGGTTAACATGCTTGTGTTCTAGGATGAGATCATTTACTTCTGATTTGCCAGAAGATGACCTTAATACCTCACCCAAACAATACTTTAAAACCATCTTTAACTGAAGTAGAATTTAACTAAAAACATTGGTGTTTTTAACTTTTTCCTGCCTCCAAAAATCTAATATCACTTTATTTATGTATTTATTTATTTATTTGAGACAGTCTTGCCCTGTTGTCTAGCCTAGAGTACAGTGGGACAATCACAGCTCATTTTAGTCTCAAACTCCTGGGCTCAAGTGATCCTTCTGCTTCAACTTCCCAAGTAGCTAGGATCATAGGCATGCACTGCCACATCCAGAAATTTTTGTTTTGTTTTGTTTGTAGAGACATGGTCCTGCCATGTTGCCCAGGCTGGTCTTGAACTCCTGGACTCAAGCAGTCCTCCTGCCTTGGTCTCCCAAAGTGCTGGAATTATTGGCATAAGCCACCACACCTGGCTTAATATCACTTTAAAAGAGAACATCTCCTAGGGTCAAGAGTTTGAGACCAGCCTGACCAATATGGTGAAACCCTGTCTCTACTAAAAATACAAAAATTAACCAGGTGTGGTGGTGTGCACCTGTAGTCCCAGCTACTTGAGAGGCTGAGACAGGAGAATTGGTTGAACCTGGGAGGTGGAGGTTGTAGTGAGCCAAGATTGCATCACTGCACTCCTGCCTGGGCGACAGAATAAGACTGTCTCAAAAAAAAAAAAAAAAGTGAACATTTTAGTGTTTAACACTTACTAGAACGCTCTGAAAGCAGATATTCGCCGGGCACAGTGGCTCATGCCTGTAATCCCAGCATTTTGGGAGCCCAAAGCGGGTGGATCACGAGGTCAGGCATTCAACATCAGCCTGGCCAATATGGTGAAACCTCGTCTCTACTAAAAATACAAATAATTAGCTGGGCATGGTGGTATGCGCCTATAGTCCCAGGCAGAAGAAATCTCTTGAACCCAAGAGGCGGAGTTTGCAGTGAGCCAAGATCACACCATTGCACTCCAGCCTGGGTGACAGAGTGAGACTATGTTTCAAAAATAAAGAAAAGCAGATTTTTTTTTTTCCTAAATGTTTACAGTAGCAAGTATATACCTGTTTTTCAAAGTACCTTGACTGATTTGAATAATCTCTGGTTCTTCTCTTGAAATTATTATGAAGAAAGGATTTATATGAATATTGGCTAATTGCCAGAATATGCGCCTCTTAGGTAAGATCTCTTCTGTAGCATTGGGATCCTGACCGGTCTGTTTCTGCAGTGCTGTGGACTCAGGCATTTCTGTGTATAGATATTGGTGGAGATGGCATTTGACCCTGTTGTGTCTGTCACCAACTCTTGGTAAACCGTAATGCAGTTTACCCATTTAGTCAGTATTGAGTACATCACAGTTTATTGAGTACGTCACTTTTGCAAGAGATTCAAAGTTGACTGAGTTCTGGCTTCCACCACATGGGGCTCTATTCTATCTGTCGTTAGGGGTCTTTTACGGACCAAGATACAGCTTTCGTATCTAAGAGAAATGTTTACAAATACTTGTGTTTTAATCAATATTCAATATATTAACGTTTTAATTTAAAAATTAACGTAAGCCTCTGTGCTCATTTAAAAATAATAAAAATGGTTGGTACACATACAGCCCTTTCTGTGTGTCAGACATTATTCTTTAAAAAAAATTTTTTTAAAATTTTAAATTATTAACTCATTTTATCCTCACAAAAACTCTCTGAGGCAGATGTTAACATTATCTTTCTCATTTACTAAGAAGGTAGCTGGTGAAGTGAGGGTAGGTGACTTGCCTGAGATTGGCAGGTAGTAAATGGCAGCACCATTGTATGAACTTGAGCAGACTGTCTCTAGGGTCTGTATTAATTTTTTTTTTTTTTTGAGACCGAGTTTCACTCTTTTTGCCCAGGCTGGAATGCAATAGCACGATCTCGGCTCACTGCAACCTCCGACTCCCAGGTTCAAGCAATTCTCCTGCCTCAGCCTCCAGAGCAGCTGGGATTATAGGCGCCCTTTACCACACCCAGCTAATCTATGTGTGTGTTTGTGTGTGTGTGTGTGTGTGTGTGTCTGTGTGTCTGTGTGTATATTTCTTTCTTTTTTTTTTGAGAAAGAGTCTCACTCTGTTGCCTAGGCTGGAGTGTAGTGGTGCTATCTTGGCTCACTGCAACTTCTGTCTCCTGGGTTCAAGCAATTCTCCTGCTTCAGCCTCCCAAGTAGCTGGGACTACAGGTACATGCCACCATGTTTGGCTAATTTTTATATTTTTAGTAGAGATGGGGTTTCACTATGTTGGCCAGGCTGGTCTTGAACTTCTGACCTCAGGTGATCCACCTGCCTCGGCCTCCCAAAGTGCTGGGATAACAGGCGTGAGCCACTGAACCCAGCCTAGTTTTTGTATTTTTAGTAGAGACGGTGTTTCACCATGTTGGCCAGGCTGGTCTCGAACTCCTGATGTCAGGTGATCTACCTGCCTTGGCCTCCCAAAGTGCTTCAATTACAGGTGTGAGCCACCACCTCTGCACATGTATTAATATTTTTTGTATAAAAATTAGAACTACTCCTGTTCCTTTTCTTTGAGCTCATGGATTTGACTGATCTAATTCCCCAACATTTAAAACCATTACATAATCTTCCGAACTGTACTTATGAGTTTAATATGTCTAAAATCTCTCACATACTTCAGACACTCATAAGGAAGACTTGTGAATCTAGCAATGAACCCCAACAGGATAAATCCAATAAATCCATGCACAGAGGCATCATAGTCAAATTGCTAAAGATAAAAATCTTAAACGTAGCCAGAGAAAAATGACATATTACCAGTAGAGGAACAATGATTTGAATGACTGTAGATTTCTCATCAGAAACTGTATTAGTCCGTTCACATGCTGCTATGAAGAAATACCCAAGACTGTAATTTATAAAGAAAAGAGATTTAATTGACTCACAGTTCCACATAGCTGAGGAGGCCTCAGGAAACTCACAGTCTTAATGGACGGTACCTCTTCACAGGACTGCAGGAGAGAGAATGAGTGCCCAGTGAAGGGAGAAGTCCCTTATAAAACCACCCCCATGATTCAATTATCTCCACATGATTCCTCCCACAGCAGATGGGGATTATGAGAACTGTAAATCAAGATGAGATTTGGGTGAGGACACAGCCGAACCATGTCAGGAATCATGGAGGTTGGACAAAAGCAGCATTTTTTTTTTTTTTTTTGAGTTGGAATTTCGCTCTTGTTGCTCGAGCCAGAGTGCAATGGTGCGATCTCGGCTAACTGCAACCTCCACTTCCCAGTTCAAACGATTCTCCTGCTTCAGCCTCCTGAGTAGCTGGGATTACAGGCACCCACCACCACGCTCAGCTAATTTTTGTGTTTTTAGTAGAGATGAGGTCTCACCATGTTTTCCAGGCTGGTCTCGAATTCCTGACTTCAGATGATCCATCTGCCTTGACATCCCAAAGGGCTGGGATTACAAGTGTGAGGCACCATGCCTGGCCAACAGTAGCACATTTTCAAAGTGCTGAGAGGCCGGGCACTGTGGCTCACACCTGTAATTCCAGCACTTTGGGCGACCCAGGCAGGTGAATCACCTGAGGTCAGGGGTTTGAGACCACTCTGACCAACATGGCGAGACTGCCATTCCTACTAAAAATACAAAAATTAGCTGGATGTGGTGGCCCATGCCTGTAATCCCAGCTACTCAGAGGGCTGAGGCATGAGAATCACTTGAACCCAGGAGGCGGAGGCTGCAGTGAGCTGAGATCATGCCACTGCACTCCAGCCTGGGTGACAGAGTGAGTCTCATCTGAAAAATAACATAAAATCAAAGAAAGTGCTGAGAGAATTGTCAACCCAGAATTATTTACTTAGTGAAAATACCTATCAAGAGAGAAGGTGAAATCAAAGTATTCTCAGATGAAGGAAAACTAAGAGGGTTCGTTGCCAGCCGACCTGCTCTGAAGTCGTTGCTAAATGAAGTTCTTTTTTTTTTTTTTTTTTTTTTTGAGACGGAGTTTCACTCTTGTTACCCAGGCTGGAGTGCAATGGCGTGGTCTCGGCTCACTGCAACCTCCGCCTCCTGAGTTCAGGCAATTCTCTTGCCTCAGCCTCCTAGTAGCTGGGACTACAGGCACGCGCCACCATGCCCAGCTAATTTTCTGTATTTTTAGTAGAGGCGGGGTTTCACCATGTTGACCAGGATGGTCTCGATCTCTTGACCTTGTGATCCACCCGCCTCCGCCTCCCAAAGTGCTAGGATTACAGGCGTGAGCCACCGCACCCGGCTAAATGAAGTTCTTTAGACAGAAGGGAACTTTGTACATCAGAAGAATAGTAAATACCTGGGTAATAAATGCAATAAATGATTTTTCCCCTATTGAATTATTTAAAATACATTTGACAGTTGAAAACAAAAATGATAACTGATCACGTTTTAACGTATGTAGATGTAGTAGTATCTAAGACAAATATAACATAAGTAAGGGAGAGTAAGGTTCCCTATGCCTTTGTACATTTTTCTTGAAGAGGTACAATGTTGATGCTAAGTAGATTTTGAAAAATTACATACATATGTATTGTAATCCCTAGAGCAACCACTATACAATGAGGTAGATGTATCAAAATGACATTTCAAAAAAATGTTGAAACAACTAACAGGAGAGTAGGAAAGGGGAAACAAGAAGGAAAAATGGAAAGAACAGACAGAAAACAAATAAAATGATAGACCTAAATCCAAATATACCAATAGTTACGTTAAATGCAAATGATCTAAATATGTCAATTAAAAGACAGAAGTTGCCAGGAAGGGTATAAAATGATGAACCAACTGTATGTTGTCCGTAAGAAATTCAGTTCAAATATAATGATAATAGGTAGGCTGAAAGTAAAAAGATGGAAGAAGATTCACCATGTAAACACTAAT